CTGGCCTAGGGAGGATTTTAAATCGGGTTCTTAAGAGTAATTTTAAATAGCACAACTTTAAATATTTGGTTTTAATTGGTTTTACTTGGGTGGGGTTGTAAATGTGTTTATGTTTTTTAATATGTTGTGAGCCGCCCTGAGTCCCGTTGGGAGAAGGGCGGGATATAAATCAAATAAAATAAATAAATAAATAAATAAAAACAAGCAAATAAACGTGAACACCAGGGAAAATCTTAAACTATAAAAGTTTAATACAATCACCAAGCTTTCGTTGGCAAACTGCCGACATCGTCAGGGCTTAAAATGCTAGTCAATAGGAGAGTCCTTTTATAGGCTGATCAAGGTCTGCACTCGGCTCCTGGACCTCGTCATCGGACCTGATTGAATAAGCTGTGTTCCGGCCGTAGCTCTTGCATTAGCGGTTGCTCTTTTCCTGTATCTCTTGTCTGTGCGTGTGACATCGCACATCCTCCCTTCGCTGAGTTTAGGGTCGGGCGGGGTATTTCCCCCCTTTTTTGATTGACCGTATCTCTCGTATCTTTCAATTGTGTATTCCTGTCATCTCCTCCCTTGCCCCACTCAGGTTGTCTAGGTGCAATGCGTTCTACCCCTCCCTCCTTCTCACAAATACTACCCACGTTCCCATTGCTGTCATCCATCCCCTGGGGCTGTGTGTCAAGTGCTTCCCCCTGTCTCCTGTCCTCGACTGCCTTCTCTCCATCCACGTGGCTACAATCCCCATAAGTGCTGTCCCGTCCGGTTTTCACTATCACCTGGCTAGTGACAATACGAAAGGGGACCGCCTGCTCAAGGAAGCGTGGCTCTCCGACAGAGACTCAATCAACCGGCACATCGACCTCTGCCCAGCACTTTTGACGCTGAGGGCATGGAGTACGGGCAATCCCCCGCCCCGTTGGAGGCAATCCAGCAGTACACCGAACGCGTTAAGAAAGAAGACCACGGAGGAAGCACCCTCCCCCCAACAGCTTATGGACACCCAGGTGAGGTGTGGGCAACGATCAAGGGACCCCCCCCGCCCCGAGGGCGTGCACGCGCTCCCAAAAGATCAAGGGATCGGCGGGAGATGCAGGAGTGGCATCCTACACACCAGGAGCTCCCACACATCTAAAAAGGGTGACACCCCCCAACGGGGAGACGGCACCTGGACTGGGCTGGCGGACGCCCTTGGCCGGGATTCCTGACTGCCATACAGATGACATTCGAGATAGCCCGGTTAAGGCTGGATTACGGAGATACGGAAAGATCGGAGACGACGAGAGGGGACGGTTTCGAGCGATGGTTACCCGGTCGCGTTCGAGAGAGGAGAGGACGGCCTTGCCGACCCACCCCGCAGCGACAGCCTGACCGCATCAACGGGAAACACGAAACAGCTCCCGAGACGGCATACGGGCAAAGAGCACTAGAAATGGGGGGGAGATAGTGAAAACCGGACGGGACAGCACTTATGGGGATTGTAGCCACGTGGATGGAGAGAAGGGAGTCGAGGACAGGAGACGGGGAAGCACTTGACACACAGCCCCAGGGAATGGATGACAGCAATGGGAAAGCTTGGTGATTGTATTAAACTTTTATAGTTTAAGATTTTCCCTGGTGTTCACGTTTATTTGCTTGTTTTGAATATGAATATCCCTATATATATACTATAAAAAGTTTTAATAAAAGTTTTAAAATACCAAGCTTTCGTCAGCAGCTGCCAGCATCATCAGGGTAACCTCCAGTCGATGGGAAGGCTATTTATGGGAATGGTGCTCTTTGCACCCGGCTCCTGGACCTCGTCACAGGTCCCAGCCAATCCACCTGCGTTTGAGTTCTAAGATCCATATTGCTAGCTGTTATGTTTTTACTTTCCTTATCCTCGCCCTTGCTCCCTCCCTTCTTAGGTCGTAGGGGAAGAAGGGAGGGAGCAAGGGAGAGGATAAGGAAAGTAAAAACGTAACAGCTAGCAATATGGATCTTAGAACTCAAATGCAGGTGGATTGGCTGGGACCTGTGACGAGGTCCAGGAGCCAGGTGCAAAGAGCACCATTCCCATAAATAGCCTTCCCATCGACTGGAGGTTACCCTGATGATGCTGGCAGCTGCCGGCGAAAGCTTGGTATTTTAAAACTTTTATTAAAACTTTTTATAGTTTTTAAAACTTCCTGGTGGTCTTACACTTTTGTACTTGCTAACATGAATTTACCCAGGAATCACCTTTTTATTTTTAGAATACTCAATAATATACAGTTGCAAGAAATAGTATGTGAACCCCTTGGGATAACGCGGAGTTTTGCATGAATTGGTCATAAAATGTGCTCTGAACGTCATCTTAAGTCACAACAATAGAAAAACACAGTCTGCTGAAAATAATAATACACAAACATTACATGTTGCCATGGTTTAATTGAACATAACATGTAAACATTCACAGTGCAGGGAGGAAAAAGTATGTGAGCCCCTAGCCTAATGACATCTCCAAGAGCTAATTGGAGCCAGGAGTGAGCCAACCTTGACTCCAATCAGTGTGAT